TGTTTGGTACTTTTATTCTTCGCAATAATTAAATCACTGTTTACGTATTGATTTTGCTTTATTAACAAATAAATTATGGTTTACAATAATTGTTCAAAATGTTGACCATTTACTTCAATGCAAAGATTGCACCGTCGGGTCATTGACTGAAAAGTTTAGTCTACGAAACACCTGTTCGTAACACTGATCTAAAAAATAAATGGATAAACAATCGTACGGCTCGATTGGCTAAACTTGTGCGAACATTTGGGGTCAATATTCTACGAACAGTTGTGGAACGGAACAGCCTAACGCCTGCGCAGTATCTTATCTTTCGAACAACTGTTCTAAAATTTGAAATTCCTTCATTTTCATTGGACAGATTTTGTGCACGCACAATACATGTATCTACTGCGCACGCTCACAGCTGTCCCATTCAGTTGTTTTTGTTTAAATTATGACCTCGTAAATTAGCAGCATTAGAAGCGTTCTTTGTTTATCCATTTATTTTTGAGATCAGTGGTTCGTAATGAGGAAGATCTGTTAACAAGGATACTGGCGAGTTGTACCCATGTAGAAGCTATTCCCGGAATATTCCAAAGGGATCGCGAGTCAATGACCTGACCGACGGTGCAATCTTTGCATCGAAGTAAATGGTCAACACTTTGAACAATTATTGTACACCATAATTTATTTGTTAATCAAGCAAAATCAATAAGTAAACAGTGATTTAATTATTGCGAAGAATAAAAGTACCAAACAGTTTTTTTACTCTACAGCCCAAATGGCTCATTTGCGGACATATGTTTATATAAACAAAAATGCTTGTTTTAATCTCCCCTACTACCCCTTGAAGTTTGTCGGTATCTTTTTGGGACACCCTGTATATTTATCTGTTTTCTCCAACCTTTTCCTTTAGTTTGAATGTTTTATTTGTTTTCTCGCACCTTTTCCTTCAGTTTGAATGTTTTATTTATTTGTTTACTCCTAGTTTTAATATTGTTTGTTCGAGTCCAGATAAGCAGAAAGTTTAGTTTTTTTTTTTTTTTTAATAAATAAATAATTTTGAATTTGAGATTAGATAAGCAGAATGTTAATTTTTTTTTTATATGAAAACCTAATTTATTTAAAATAAATTTATGAGAAACAATTTCTAATATTTACTTTCTTCTTAGTCACTCCCATATGTACCAACCACAATTATTAGCTCTTTTAAGCTTCAAAAAAGCCTTAGTGAAGATTACTGATCTTCAAAGTATGATTTGTATCGGTCTAAAGTTATCGGCCAATGAAGGGCCGATATGCCGATACACCGATATACCTGAAAAAGGCCGATACACCGATATACCGATATGCCAAATCGGTATCGGTCGATCCCTGCTTTCAACTGGTGAAAATAACGGTCAAAATTCAAACTCTATCGTGAATTCAACTATAGCAATTTTTGGAATTATTTGAGGTGAGACGTAATCATCATCAGCCACCCACTGCACATATGTCCTCGTTAGTCCATCTGGCCTTAGGCAGGTTGAAGTCACCAGCCACACAATTTGGAAAAAATGCAAACCTTTACTTAAAAAAATAAAGCTGATGATGATCGGCCAAAGACGAAACGTTGTCACCATGTCTATACCTTTTCAACTTCAAATTGGGATCAATCAATTTCAATTTGGAAGGTAGCAATTTCAAATTGGGATTAATCAACTTTTAATTGGTAACTAACACGTTCAAAATGGGAATAAACAAAGTCAAATTGACGTTTTCAATTAAAAGAGATGGACAATAAAGTATGAAAACAATCATTTTCCCGCCAACATTTGCTTGCTTGTCAATGCCAGTGTGTATTGGGTGTTTTGAAAGAAATTGTGTGAAAAGTTACTACTTCATTTGCAGAACTTCGCTATGGAGAAAGCGGTGAATTATTTTGGAAGCAAACAGCTCCCGCAAACTAAACTTGAACGTGGATTACTTTGTATACTTGATGGGCCGTGGATTCCCTTTTTTTGCAAGTATTCTTTCTGATTTTATGTATCCAAAATTTGACAAATGTAAGATTTGATGGAAACTTATGGAAAGACACGTTCGCCGGTAAATAGGAATTATTTTTACAAAAAGGCACACTACACAATCACCATTGTTAGGAAAAAACTTTGAAAGAACCGAGGAAATAATAGTTTCCAGTTTCCACATGTACAAAAGTCTTGTCAACAAACCACTGTCAGCGGCTGTCAACCGTTGTTTTCATACTCTTTTGGCGTCTGACAGTTTGACGCCAGAGAGAGAACTTTTAAATTGAAAAGGTCAATTGGGAATAAACAATTTTAATTTGGTACTAATCAACTTTAAATTCGAATTATTGAATAAATTCCAAAGTTTTGCATGTCAAATGGCAGTTACTTTTAAACCGTATTTTAAATTAACAAAATGCCCATTACATTAAAGTACCTGATGCAGAAAATGCAAAAAAGCAAAAAGCTGTTTTTAATAACAAAGGTGACTGAAGAGGATTGGCTAACACTCTGGGTATAAAAAAATTTACAGCTTATCGATGGGTAGGTACCCAAGAAGTTGTTAGAAGCAAACGTGGGGGACAAAGAAAAGCAAACATTATGGTATAAATGACTGGATACATAAAGGAAAATGCTGTTATTACGCTGAAATAAATATTTATTTATTTATTTATTTATTTATTTATTTACGGACAAGACCCAAAGAAATTTTTGAACAAAATCTCATTTTGATGAAATGTTTTCATTCAGGCTCAATGGCTGTCGTAAGTTGGAATCTCTTTCTGACGTCTGGTAGCAGACTGCTACCAGAATCGGACATGGAAGCACCTCTGAAGATGCTAGCCACGCGTGCTAGCAAAACGTCATAATTCAGGAAGAAATTACAAGTTAGGACAACCATTAGGCCCGAATGAAAACATTTCATTGATAAACCCGGACCGCAAAAGCCTCACAAACTTTATCAAAATCTCATTTCATCACTGTTCAAAGTCCCTTTTTCATTAATGTATATTGATTTTCTTCACTAGCAATCTTTCATTTATATTAATACCTAAATCGAATAGGTCTATTCCCAATTTGAATTTGTTTCTTCCCAAATCAAAATTGATTAGTCACAATTTGAAGTTGATTAGTACCGAATTAAAAATGATTAGTTCCAATTTGATTTTGTTAATTCCCATTTTGATATTGTTAGTTCCCAATTTAAAGTTGCTTAGTCCCAATTTGAAGTTGAAAAGGTATAGAGGAGAGAAAGTTGCCCCTATAATGTGAAGTTTATTTCTAAATATCTTTCAAAATGAGCCCAAGAAAAAATAGAAACGAAAATTGCATTATTTTTTTTTGAAATTATGCAAAACTTTAAATTGCTGTATCTTAGAAACTATTCTACTCACAAATACCAAATTAATATTGTTTTTTTTTTTAAATTTTGTTTACTTTAAAATTGTACCGTGCGTTCAATTTATCTTGATAACATTTTAATTCGCTGTAACTTTTTTGTTTTTGAAGGTATCAAGGTAAATAAAAAAACAAAATGTAGGGTTAGTAGCCAAGTTTTTTTTCAAGTTACCTATAAAACAAAACACTATCAATTTTCTGACATATGAGCCAACATTATATTTTTTTAAATGGAACACCCTGTATATTAGATATGTGTTTGATAGAATATCTTATTCCGATTACAATGATATAATACACTCCATATTTTAGTCCACTCGTTTTTGACAAATCGGCAAAAATATATGAAACTTTTGAAGTGAAACTTATTAGGCGGCAATCTGATATTTGGGGAGAGAATCATTGATAGTGCATATAAAAATATCATATTTTTGCCGATTTGTCAAAAACAAGTGGACTAAAATATAAAGTGTGTTGTTATATCATTGTAATCGAAATAAGATATTCTATCAAACGCATATATAATATACAGGGTGTTCCATTTGAAAATATAATGTAGGCTCATATGTCATAAAATTGATAGTGTTTTTTTTTTATAGGTACCTTGAAAAAAAACTTGGCTACCAACCCTACATTTTGTTTTTTTGTTCACCTTGATACCTTCAAAAACAAAAAAGTTACAGCGAATTAAAATGTTATCAAGATAAATTGAATGCACGGTACATAATTACTTTTGCTGTAACAGTAGTCCTTGATGGTCACATTGACAAAAAGTTAAAAAAGGGTGAGTTTTAGTAATAATTAACAATGATCTTGAGGGCTATCGAGGTTGAAAACTCGGATTTGTCATTACCACTTCATCAGATACAACCATATCAAAAAATCAGAAATACCTCATTTCATGCAAGGTAACTCCCCTTTTTCAGTACGATTTCCACTAGGCAAACACAGTGTTGGCTCACTTCTCTAACCATAAAACCTATGCTTTCTGGATCCCTTAAAATTGCAAAAATTTCAACAAAAACATTAATCTAAAATGTTGACATGCCACCCATGACCAAAAAAAAAATAAAATCTGACATCAACAAGCTGGACCCGATTACCCAATACAGACTACTGCAGAAAAACTTGAGACTTGTGTGCTGACAATAGAATACTTACTTGGAGGAAATATTCAAAAATTAGTAAACTTATTGATTTTTTTGGATGAACTGTAAACTTTGACTTTTTCTACAAGCTTTGTTGCTGGTGGTGTTTAAAATAAGGTCTACGGTATATCGATTCGTTTAGCCTTGTCCCAGGTCCAGTGCAAAATAATATGTTGAGGCTTTGCTAATGTGGAAATCCATAGTACCAAGCTTGGTGAGTCTCACCTGTATGGTTTCCTCCGAATTTAATGCTACACAATACAAAATATGGTACTTCAATTTTTAAAGAAAACAATAATTTTACTCAATGGTCTGTGTCGGCCATATTGGATTTAGTTAAATGTTTATAGAATGGAAATGGCGCAAATCCGCTATGAAGGGACGCCAATGCGCAGAGCAGGATAATGTCAAAAATTATTACTTTTGGCGGTAATCAAGAAAATGTTTTTGTGTTTAGAATACTTACATTGGTATCGGTCAAGTAGTTGAACTTATTCCGGAACAAGGTTGCAAAATTGATCACGCAATTCCACGTTCGACGAGTAGATCCTTGCAGAAGATTACTGGCCGCCCAAAGCCGAAACATCGATCCAACCTTACTGGTTGGAAAACGGTGTCATTGACTTTACGGAAATTATGCGAAAGATCAAAGAAAACTCGAGCTGTTGCTTGAATGGATTACAGATCTCACGCCTAGCACAATACTTAACGCATTATCTTCACTGATTGCAAAAAAAAATGCTGATATTTTGAATAATTCAATTCAAAAAATCTCTAAAGCCCAACGGTGGAAATGGAGATTGAAAAGAAAAGAACCTTCTCCCTTCTACTTCATTTTTCATTTGTTTTCTGCTTTGACGTTTGACATTGACCAGTGACCGGATCAATTGACACACTAGGCTGCGTTCATCGCTCCCTTACCGTGCGTTCGGTATTTTGATCTAAGTTTTCCGAGCTTGAATTTACAATTCGTTTATTTGAAAAGTGTACTCGGTGCACGCTCATTTGCGTTCGTTTATTAAAATTTCGGGTACTCGGACTCGGATACAGCGTTCAACTGCTCTGTTCGCTCGCTGGTCACGTGACTACGGCTCCGCTCAGTACGCTCTGCTCTTTGAGCAAAATACCGAACGCAAGGTATATCAACTCGATAAAGCTACATCCTCAATCAATAGCGAAGTGGCACTTTGGCAGTGTTTGGCACGCGTGCTGGAAAATTTATACCCATCCTCAAATCTGTCAATTTTCAGTCTGCTGTGCGTATAGTACGGTCACATACCGTGCAATCGGTATTTTGATCTGGGTTCTCTGAGCATGAATTTACCGTTCGTTTATTCAAAAAATGTACTCGGTACTCGGTGCAGGCTCATTCACGTTCGTTTAATAAAATTTCGAGCCCTCTGATACAGCGTTTAACTGCTCTGTGCGCTCGCTGTTCACGTGATTACGGCTCCGCTCTGCTCTTTGAGCAAAATACTGAACGCAAGGATAACCTAAATTATTTTTTACTGTACTGCGCATGACATAAGTTGGCACGCATCGAAAAAGCTGGCAGCTTGCAACCTTCACTTCAGAGTCGACGTGCATGCCAGCACGGAATTGAATTGAGGATGCCAACGTTAAACAACATTTCCCTAGCTTGCGTGCCGAAGTGCCACTTCGCTACTAAATTGATTGAGGATGAGCCTTGAAAGAAAAAAGTGTGGACTCGGAGTAGGGACACGGAGTACACTACACCGACAGACTCGTTTCGATCAACGGTTCGGGATTGTCGGGATCACGCCGCACCGGTGCGGCCGCTGGAACGGAGAGAGTACGAGAGTGAACCGCCGATAAGCTGCTTTCCAGTATGTAGCTGTATTCTTTTCAAGAGTTTGAAACACTAGAACTACTCGCTCCGGTGTTGGTCACCCCGATTCGAAAGGAACAGATTCGCTGGCTTTCGTGCATTTATGAGCCGCTTTCCAGCTGTGTGCTTCAAGCACAGTGTTCTGTGTTTGAAACGCAAAAGTTAGCAGCTCTCGAAGCGCAGTACGGCTGGAACACGAACACGCGCTTGAAGCATTTGCGCGCGCAAAAGCTCGATTGCGTGCTCAAAAGCGTCAGCTGGAAAGCGGATATGGTTTACTTTGGGCTCGAGTACTCAGGTGCAACAAACACTTTTCGAAAGGAATAAGTGCGTAACGCCCCGGAGCTGTTACAGAGCTCCTCATAGGTGTGAAAGGAATACTATTCACCATTCCGGTATTTTCGGCGATAATACCACGAGAGCTTCAAAATTAGCGATAATTTTTCACGATTGCGTGTTTTCTATAATTTCACGAGTCCGCAGGACGAGTGAAATTTGCAGAGAAAACACGCATAAGTGAAAAATTATCTGGTTCATTTTAAAGCTCAAGTGGTATTTACAGGATTATTTCACGTATGAGAATGCAAAAAAATATGGAAATAAATATGTATTAAACGATTTGAACATCTTAACAATCAATACAAATAAATGGTTGCTATCAGGAACCGTTTGTTTGTATCAAAAATTAACATGACAACCATGTATACAATATACAATAACATGGGAGAATTATCGAATGTAATACCACAAGAGGTTTCAGGATTACCGGATAATACTTTTACCTTCACGAAACGCGTTACGCAGCAACACCACGACTCCGAAGGAGGAGTGGTGTTGCTGGTAACGCGTTGAGTGTCAGGTAAAAGTATTAGGTAATCCTGAAACATCGAGTGGTATTCAAAAGGTTATACAACGAACTAAACTTCAATACTTTATTAATTTTTATTGGCAAATGAACAATATTGCCACCAAGCGCGATAATCCCAAAAGGCTTATCACTTCTTAAGCCTCTCGTGTCATATGGGAATAACGTACAGTGAGTTGTATAATCGCTGTAATTCTCTCTCGTTAAACAAATGGAAAAGAGAATTTTCGCTGTAATTCTTAAAATCGTCACTTATCTTATGGGATTTCTAACACATGAGTGGAATAATCGTTATTAGCTAATCACTGATAATTATGTAATCACGGGTCAGTTAAGTTAGCCCCCCCCCCCCCATAGAAAATTTCTGGATGAAAATTATCCCATAATTTTGCTCTCATTTTGCTCCATTTTGCTCCACTAATTTCGATTTTTACTCCATTACAGTGGAGAGACTATGTGGCCTATTAGGTGGGGGGGCTGAATTAACGCTAGCCCCCCCAGTGAAAATTCAGAAATTTGATCATGCTCATTTTGTTCTCCGAGTTTTGCTCCATTTTGCTCCACTATCGGCGAGTTTTGCTCCATTACCAGGAGAGACCTACAGAGCTTCCAAGAATCTCTCTCAGCCCCCCCCGGTGAAAATTTTGAAATTTGATCATGCTCATTTTGTTCTCCGAGTTTTGCTCCATTTTGCTCCACTATCGGCGAGTTTTGCTCCATTACCAGGAGATACAGTGGCTAAATAAACCTTTACATACAGTGGCGACAATAGAGTTCCCGCCGCCATCTTGTTCCCAACCTCCTGTTACTTTCAAATATTAATATATAAGATTTAAATAGACATCTATCATAAAAAATTAAAATCGGCATATTTGATGACCATTATCAGGTTCATCAAATACGTTGTTTTCCATGTTTTATGATGGATGTTCACCTAAATCCTATATATTCATATTTAAAAGTAACAAAGAGGTTGGGAACAAGATGGCGGCATTTTCAATATAAACATATGGGATTTTTGAACCAATCAAAAATGAGACCGCAATTGTCGCCACTGTGGTAATAAAGTCACTGTACCAGGAGAGACCTACAGAGCTTCCAAGAATCTCTCCCAGCCCCCCCCGGTGAAAATTTTGAAATTTGATCATGCTTATTTTGTTCTCCGAGTTTTGCTCCATTTTGCTCCACTATCGGCGAGTTTTGCTCCATTACCAGGAGAGACCTACAGAGCTTCCAAGAATCTCTCCCAGCCCCCCCCGGTAAAAATTTTCAAATTTGAACATGCTCATTTTGTTCTCCGAGTTTTGCTCCATAATCGGCGAATTTTGCTCCATTACCAGGACGGCGATTCTCCAATCGTGTGATCCCTGTTCTCATAGGAAAAGTACGTGTGGTTTCTATTAAAATCTATTACGATGTATTCTCGAAATTGGGGACCGTTCACTTCCTATGAAAGTTGAAAGAATTTCATTCTACTACTTTTTTTGAAGAGAACGTCTGTTCTCGAGAGAACCAAACGTCAATCATGCGCTTTTTGTCAATTCTACAGTCATCATTCATGGTATTTTCTTGTTTGTTTTGCAAATCATTTATCAGTAATTGCCAATTGGGTACATTTGCATATTGTGGAAAATATGGTCCAATACGAAAACGTGGGAAACCATGGAAGAAGGGGTTATAGGAAGAATTCTTGTACTGAATGATCTACAAGAAGCAAGAAGAAAGGCCTATAATAGACCGCCAGCTAATGACATATTTTGCTGACCGTTTTTCTCTCTTCGGGGATTTCAACCACTGAAAATTATGTCAGTGCTGAGCTCAAAAAATTAAAATTTAACGACCGAACGTCTGCTAGGCATATGGAAAATGTTCTTTCGTTTTGCAGCGGCCGTAACATATACCTCAATAGCTGACCGGCTTATGGGAATTTTTTTTCTGGTTCCTACCGATATCAAATTTGATTGTCGCGCCCTTATTTCAACCCTTTCAGCTTTGGTTTTTCACTATTAGACTGTTCTACAATGTTAATGTGTTAAAATGCCATGAAAGAGAAATTGAAAAAATAACCTATTTTTTTCTGCAAGAGGAAAATTAATTTTCCATATGCCTAGCAGACGTCCGGCCACTAAATTTGCATTTTTTGAGCTCAGCACTGACATACTTTTCAGTGGTTGAAATCCCCGAAGAGAGAAAATCGGTTAGCAAAACATGTCATTAGCTGACGGACGGTCTATAAGGAGATTTTACAGAAGAGAAAATCCCTTTGATTTAACGGATAATAAATTTATAAAACTATTTAGATTAAGCAATGATCCTGGTCGAAATATAATTGATTTATTGACACCTTTTATACAGGCTCTAACTAGAACTTCATCATTAAAAACTGTGGTAAAGTCGGAAGTAAATTTTCCACTTTGAAGTTTCTCATTTTGCCTTAAAAATTCAATGAGCATTTCTTTTTGAGTATATTATTTCGTTGTGCTGGCCACACGCCACTGTCGCCACTTTTTTGAAGGATATGAAGGGTTTTAGCTAAATGATTTATAGGCGAACATCTTGATTTTTCCAAATTCATTTTCCACATACGACCCAAAACACAAATAGAACGAATAAAACAAACTGATTTTCTTCTTTCTCATGACATTCGTCCTTTTTAAGACACTAAAATTGTGGTTAATTCTACATATTACTGTTGGCAACAACGCATTATGATTCGACATGTTTTCTCTCATTCTATCATATAATCCCATACGTTCGAGAATACCAACTTTGGCACCAAGAGAACGAGCGTGCGATGTGATCTCTCACTTCTCTTAGGGGAACGTTCACTTCTACCAAATTCGAGAATCGACTACCAGGAGAGACCTACAGAGCTCCCAAAAATCTCTCCTAGCCCCACCCCCGGTGAATTTTTTTAAAAATTTCAACATGTCCATTCTGTTCTCCGAGTTTTGTTCCGTTTTGCTCCATTATCGGCGAGTTTTGCTCCATTACCAGGAATGACCTAGAGAGCTCCAAAGAATCTCTTCTTGCCCCCCAGTGAAAATTTTGAAACTTGAAATTTCGAGTTAGTCCGAAATACTCCGCCTCCAATTTTACACATTCGAGCGAACATAGTTTCTCAAGC